GTGAAAATCATAACTTATTTCTTAACACAGCAAAAACAAGATAATGCATACAAACAAAACTGCCATGGAGAAAGAAATATATGTTAATGAGGAAAAAGATTGGAAGTGGTGGAAAATTTCGAATATCTAGGGTCACTGGTTACCAACAATGGTGACACAATGAAAGAAATTAAACGGCGACTATCAATTGCTCTTCAAAGACTAAAACAACTGAATAAATTATGGAATTGTACAGATAGAATTACAAAGGTCAGATTTTTAAGAGCATGCATCTTTCCCATTGCAACATACGCCTGTGAGACCTGGACACTTACTAAACAAGCGGAACAGCGCATAAATGCATTTGAATATAAATGTTACAGACAGGTTCTAAGAATATCTTGGGTAAAGAAAAGAACAAATGCATCCATACTTCAAGAGCTGAATATTGAAGAGGGTTGGCTAGTAAAGACAATAAAACAAAGAAAATTGAAATATTTTGGTCACTTGAAACGTCATGGAGGTCTAGAGAGAACAATAATGGAGGGGTATATGCCTGGGAAGAGAGGAAGAGGAAGGCCAAGGAGAAGATGGGTGCAGGATGTGGCAGATGATCTCCAGATGGGTGTATCAGACGCAGGACATCTTGCTCATGATAGGAAGGTTTTCCGGAGGGTTGTTATGGCAGCGAGGTTCCGCGAGGGACATGCTACTGAATGAATGAATGAATCAGTAAAAAAGAAGACAAGATTTTGATACAAGATTAGGATAGGTAAGGCAGCAACAACAACAACAACAAAAAAAGAATAATATATTATAGATTAATAATATTAACATAGTTTGGAAAAACAGAAAGCTAAAAGAAAAAATAAACTTGTGTCTATCAGGATTATTGGTCATGATAAATAAGTAATACAGAGTATGTTTCTGGAAGACAATAGACGGGTCGACCAGAAAGACGGCGGACAGAAGAGATCACAGACACACCGGTCATGAAAGTTCGCCAGGTAAAAGGCTGGCAGGGTATGAAAGCATCATCCCCAGTAATTCACCCCACTATGTACGGTAGTAAAATGTAAAAGTTCTTTTTCCATGCCTCTATGCGTATTGAGAATATAGGGCAAGACTTACATTTTTCAGACCTATAGGCACTAGGTGGGGGATGTTGTCAGCATCAAGTCTGCCTCCTTTACTTCCCAGGACTAACCTCGTACGCACTCAGGGCTGGGTCGACCTGGGAGTCAAGGTCATTTTTGAAAAATCAGGCTCTGTCGCTCCACCCACTCTCTCCTCCTCTCCATCTCCTGCAGGCGCTGACAACCGGGTTGTTTGTATACCTCCGGACATCCCTCTGTCCATATCCGAGATATTCTTCCTCAGCAAGGATCTCCGGTTCGTGCCCTTACGCCCTTCTAGCGACCGATACGTTCTCCTTCAGGACGCTCACAACATTTTTCGCAGGCTCAGGTTGCATTATGATCACAGTACCCGACCTGAGAGAACCAGTGCACCTGTACTTACTGACTCTACTGTCTGGTTTTCAAAATCCAGATCTTCATGGTGTCCTAAACCTCGGGCGTCTAGAGCTTTGGATCTATACATTGAGAAAACTCTTTCCGAGATCAATAAATTGAAATTCTAACATCTCCAGGACTAACCTCTCACCTCAAGAACTCACACGATTGAAACGTGGTGATGATATTGTTATTAAACCGACCGACAAGGGAGGGGCGATAGTAGTCTGGAGAAAAGATTTATATATGCAAGAAGGGGACAGGCAACTTAGTGACGCATCTTCCTATGAACCCAAGACACAGGATGTTACGGTAAAAAAAAACAACAAAATAGTAAAATGTACCATTACAACCTTCATCCAGGAAGATCTTCTGCCTGCCTGGGTCAACTCTCTATTTGTCGAGGACAGTTGTCTGAGGAAGGCTGGCCTTCACATGCTTCACGAAATACATAAACTCGACAACCCAGGTAGACCGATCGTGTTCGCCTACGCTTGTCCCATAGAGCTCATATCTGAGTTCCTCATCCGTATTTTGCAGCCCCTTGTCGCTGATCCAACCATGCTATCTCTATCTTTCAGGTACCACATCTTCACCTTAGATGTTACCTCCCTCTCACCGCTATTCCACATTTTAATGACCTCCAGGCTTTGCGGTTCTTTCTAGATCAGAAAGTCAGTCCTGCCATAGCCACTGACTCCTTGAATCGTCCGGCTAAGTTAGTGCTCACTCTAAACTGCTTCGAGTTTAATGGCCAGTATTTCAACCAGATCAGCGGCGTCGGTATGAGGACCAAGATGGGACACAGCTATGCCTGCTTCTTCATTGGGCATCTCAAACACCAGATACGTCATGCATATACCGGTAGGCTCCCCGAGCTCTACAGGAGGTATATCGATGATTGCATCGGTGTCACCGATATGCCACTACCTGAACTGCAGAGCTTCATTCATTTTTTTCGTCAACTTTCATCCCAGCATCCGATGCACTTCTAGCATCTCATCTTCGTCAGTGCATTTACTGGATCTCACTTTCGAAATCTATAGACTATATCACCCCTGTTTACTACAAGCCTACTGATTCCCACAGTTTTGCTGTCTACACGTCCTCCCATCCCTCTTCTTGCAAGGTCTCAGTTCTGTTCTCCCAACTTCTACGCCTTCGCCGACTATGCCAAGAAAACGACGACAGTCACAACAAGGCTCTGGAAATGATGGACTTCTTCCGGCTTCGAGGGTATCCTGAACATGTCCTATCTGCCGCATTTCACCGCGATGGTCTTTCCATCGTGCCGAGACTCTCGTTTCCAAGCCATATCACCACAACAGACCTCCTCACACTTACCTACCACCCTCACAACATCGGCGCCAAAAAATATTTTCCTCAGGCATCTATCCATCATTAAGCCGACCCTGCCACAAAAACGATTTTCTCTAAACCTCCTCTAGTGGCCTACAGGCATGACCGTTAACTCAAGGACATTCTAGTCAAAATTCGGTTACGTCCCGCGTCAGAGTCCCACTCCGGCACGGTCTCTTGCTACATACCTGTGTGCAGGACATGTCCATAGGTTTTCCAGGTGACTAGTCTAGAATTCCCGAACGCCACCTTCCACACACGTGAAGCATTCTATTGCACCAGCCGCAATGTCATTTATGCCATCAACAAGAGATGTAGCATGAAATACATTGGTGAAACAGATCTACGACTGGCTGACAGGTTCAGACAACATCCTCGACATGGAGGTGACAGCCATTAAATCTAGCCGCTTCAGCGACAGAGTCCGCAAGTCTCTTGAGAGTCGCTTTATTTATACTCTAACCCCCTAGTTATGTCCCCTGGTACTCCACAGTGGGTATTTATTCTCCCAGCACACGCGTGTAGGAATTTTGCTGAGTATCCATCGGCCCGGTTGCTACGAGATATGAGCTAAGTGATTTTGTGTATTTGTGTAGTATTGTTTGATTTGTATGTGCGGATAAAGGCTTAGTAGCTGCAACGTTCACCTTTTGTTTGTATTTGTTATATTGTGAAGCTTGGTTATATAGTTGTCGTTCAGGTTTATACCTTTTCTTGATACATTATGTACTGTACATTACATAACATCATTTTTTTTAATTAAATGCGCTTTCGGTTGGTATACTACAATTGCAACCTCGCACAAATTTGCCTAGGATTATACACGTCTAAGCATCTACCAAGCGGACATTTTAACGTTTCCGGTAACGGCGGGATTTCAAAACAGAGACTACTTGACAGGTATGGACATCTTTTAAAAACATTTATAAACTCTTGGCTGGCCAAGAGTGATCTATATATATAAAAATCAATGTTTGTGTGTTTGTTTATGAGCTAAAGACTCGGAAACTACTGAACGGATTTAGCTGACATTTTCAGGATATGTTTGTTTTGATACAAGCTGTTTACCTGTCATTGTTAGAGATGGGTGACCACATTTGTTGGAAAAATCTTCGAAACTAATATTTCCATTTTTAGTGACATTTAACTATAGCCACGTAAAGGGCCAGGATATACTATTGCAACGCAATTCCAATAGACATGCCATTCGAATTCAGACGCTTTCAGTTTCAGGTGCGACTCGCCTTTGCAATGACCATCATCAAATCACAGGGACAATCAGAACAAGTGTGTGGACAACATTTGGAACATCCATGCTTTTCACATGGACAGCCATATGTGGCCTGTTCACGCGTCGGAAAACCTTCTGATTTATTCGTGTACGCACCAGACGGAAAAATTAAGAACATTGTATACCCGAAAGCACTTCAGTGAACAATTACAATGATATTTTAAATTGTCTGTTTTTTCCTAAGGATATGTCAACAGCACAATGGTCCAAAGTAAATACTACATATTGTTATATCGACTTTCCTTTCAATTGAATTTCTATTAGAGGCGTAGCAACGCGCGCTGGGTACAGTTTACCATAGCGTTCATTTCGTAATTATTTTTCCTGTTTTCATTGCTTTTCACTTGAGTAATTTTTCCAACTACTTCGATGTACGAAGCAAGATTTCTATTTTTCTTCTTTTCAATTTAGCCAAACTGTGCCACAGCAACGCGTGGTCGGGTACAGCTAGTTACTTACATAAAGGGAGCTTTTAACATTAGCTGCGCTCGGGCATATGGTACTAGAGCCATATATGTGGAGACCAAACTGCTCTGGGTGGGTCAGGTAGTCAGACCCAAACTGCTGGTTCACTTTCCAAGGCATTAGGCTGGGAACCAAGGTCAACTATTACAAATCTCGCCTTAGTGAGGAGTCGAATCTAAAACCTTTAGGTCAGCCTGCAAGCATCCAGCCAATACACTCTCTGATATAAGAAGCATCATTCCACGTATCGTTGCTTGTCTCTTTAAAACCACCACTGGCTACTTTGCAATGTAGGCACTAAGGTGTAGGGTAAACAGATGATAAAAAACAAAAATAAAACAAAAAATAAAAATAAAAAAAATAAACACACATATACTTACATTAGAGCATCGTCAACAAAAAAGCGGACGCTGAACCGCGACTGAGGTTAATTCTGTGAATTTTGAACACATGGATAATGCATTGATAACTTCGTATGTCACCACAGGGAAGATGCATGCTCTGAATATTTTCACTTTGACCTCCGGGAAAGGTAAACCTCGCCTTCCATTCGCCAAGCTCAGACATTAGCGAGGTGAGTAAGACCGGTACTGTAACATCATATCAACGAAAAGGCAGAGATCACTGAGGTTAGACAGTACAGTACCATTATTTAGACCACTAGCAACATCATGTGGTGATAAATACCTTTAACATGTTGTCTCGTGTGATTGTAACGCAAAATGGGCTCAGCAACGGCCTCGTGAATATAGCTGACATACACATGTTGCTTGCAGTGACCAGATGGGCTACAAACAGCAGACGAGTGTTTTTTTTTTTTGCTTCTGTTTTTTGGGGGGCTATAATGAAATATCTATTTACCACTGGGTCAGTACCTGCACTCACGACCAAAAGTGATTAGAACCATACTCGACTAAAACTTTCTCGGATACTCTGACCCATTTCTCTCCTCGCCGAAATTTATTAAGCCTACAGATATGTTCAATCGTGTCTTCACTTGCGCTATTTAAGACCTTCCTCTTTTCAGTACGTGACCCTTAGCTCTATCCAGGTCTTCAGGCAGGAAGTGCTTCTTGTCTGAAACTACTCTGAGATTTGACTTTGCTAGCAGAACTTGGTTTCGAAACTATTACTAAGATGTTCAAGAGAGAAATGGCAAACCACTGAATGTAGCATTTGCCTTGAAAAACCAGCAACACCGCTGGCTTTCTTTTCCCCACTATTGCTTGGGCTAGTTCTGCAACGTCATGTAAAGGATACGCAACTAGCTTTAACCATATTTGGAAACATTTGTTGCTCTTGCTTTTTTTTTCGGCAGACAGTTTATTTTCCCTGGCAAATATTTGTGTGATAAGGTTATATTTTTTTTTTAGTAAACGTTTTTAGCCATTTTTTTTTTTAAATAAGTATCGTAAATTGTGTACGTAATCGTTTCAATGAATGTTGAATTTTACGATAAGAATACTTAAAAAAATGATATTTTTGTCATAAACTGAAAAAAGTCGTATCGTGACCCCCCCCTCTTTATAAAATTAACTTACGCATTTCTGGCAAATGGGAGATTAGCATCATGAGGAACTCTTGAGGTCGTGTTGGGTCTACAGCTCTGAAAAATTGCATTTTATATATTAGAATGTTTGGGAATAGAACTGTTGTCTAGTGTAACTGGTTAGATTTCCCATATGCTTGGTTAGACGAGAGTATATATGCTAGAATCGTTTAGCGAACATATCTTTCAGTTCACGAGAGCAATTTCTCACCAGGATCCTAAGGAATAGCCGCTAAAACTACAAAGTTCGTGCTTTGTGAGACGCTCTTGATATGTAGCTATCGGTTCTACTAAGATAGACAGAGCCATGTGGGATAAATCCTTGAGCAATGAGGTCGACCCTTACAAGGATTTTAGTCTTGATTCACAGCGAAAGGTATCTGGGAAAACAAACAAGGTGAAGTCATTAAGTAAAGACAATTCTTTCCTAGTTTGCATAAAAGAGTATGCTTAATACATATAATGTCTTGCCTGCAATACCCAAAGTGCACGTACTCACGATTTATCAGTATCCGCTTGTACAACTGCTTGTACAAAATGGCAACAACACTGTTAACATGCACCATTGCAGAGCAGCGAGGCGTTGTTGCTTTGCAAATGGTGTTATACCCTCTGAAATCTATAGAAGAATGACGGTTCAATAAGGAGACAGGTGTTTGTGTCAGAGGAAAGAGTAAGCATGTTGCCTAGATTTAAAAAAAAAACGAACAGAATAACGTCAGTGATGAAGAGCAGAGTGTGAGACTTTTTAGCGTGGCAACGTAGACAGTGAGACGGAAGATGGAGCAGCGAATCAGTGACAACATAAAAGTAACTACTGATGAAAACGCTGTAGAATTCCACGGTAGAGTTACGGTGCTGCTTACTGCACTGTTTATGACAACTTTAAGAATGTAATCAGTTGTGTAATAAATGCTTTTCATGGCATCTGATGAACAGAACAAATTAGGCAGAGGTTTTGTCAGGGAAATTTAGACTGTCATGCCCGTCAAGGAAAATTGTAAAAGGTTCTTCATTATGAATCAGAGAGAAAAAGACAATCGATGTAGTGGAATACTCGGCGTTACCACAACCTAAAAAATTCAAATGGTATGCTTCAGCTGGAAAGGTCATGCTAACCGTCTTTTGTGATGTCAATGGCCCTGTATTGACGCATTTCCTGGAAAGGGGTGAAACCTTAACTTGTGCTCGTTACAGTCACATTTAAGCGAACAAGCTAAAGTGAGCCGATCGAAAAACTGGGCTATTCCCTCAAAAGGAATTGTGTTGCTGCATGCCAACACCTTCCCCCACACCGCATACAGTGGCCACCCTACAGACTGCATTAAATCAGTGAAACATTGATCCCTTCATGATCTCCTTTAGATAATAGACGAGGAAGCTATCTTCTATATTGCAGAAGGATGGAACTGTAAGTCTATGACAGTACGGTCGTAAGGCTTGAAACTATATTTACAGCATGCCTAAACATCCTGATCAACAACCATCTGTTGACTGAGGATAAAAATTCTTGCTGACAATTGTGACGTAATGTGCAGTAGGCCAGTCTGCACAAGTCAACACAACATTTTGTATGCACCAGATCCTGCATCCGATCTGCATTCAAATTTAGATTAACAAATACTATTATAATACTGGGTATTGTATTGGGGAAAAAAACATTTAAATTAGGAGTGACCTGACGCTGGGTTATGTGTCATAGCTCAGTTGATCTGTAATCAAACCATTTGTAGAACACCTTCGAGAATACATCAAGAGCATCGCATCACAATCGTTAACTATAAAAGAATACAATGTCTTCAGACAAGAATACAAGTTGCATTTTTTAATTACTGCATTAATTTTGAGTAATAGAAAAGAAAACATATCTGAAAGATTTGTCTCGAAAAGATATTGTGGAGTGAGAGAAACAAAACATCACTGGAAGTGTGAAAAGTGTGAAAATGTATTTCAAGAAGCAAGATTTCTGTTTTGAAGCAAATATAGTAATAAAAATACCAAATGATCAAGAAATGAGTGAGACTAAATGTAAAGTCCCAAACAGATGAGGGAAAACAAACAGTGAATGATGTGTGTGGAAGGATAACAGAAAAGAGTGAACAAGATATAAATAGTAATATACAATGAAAGAAATATCGAAATGGGAAAGAGACAATGATAACAGGAAGAAGTGTACAAGACATTCTTTAAGAAACAAGAAGCGACATAAAGTAATAAAGGTGCAGAAATAAAAAAAAAAGATAGCAGTAAACCTACAAAGGTAATTCAATTATGTAACAATGAATTTAATTTTGATTCTTTTAAAATCAAAGTATATGAAATGTAATATATTTATTATAACTAGAGCTATTTAATTCTAGATATTTGTCCAAAATTGGTTTATAAAAAATATTACTACTGTTAACAGATGCAGTAAAAAAAAAAAATTTTCAGAAAATTTTGTAAGAAAATAATTTACCATTCTCATAGACAATCTGAGATTAACGAAATTATTAAAACATAAATGTACAAATTAATACAATAAACTGCAGATGGGCTTTGGATGTGTGTAAACAGATGTCACATTTGTGGTATATGAATTTAAATTTTTGATAAACCTAATAATAGTATAATTATTGAGACAGCTGACAAAATTGTTTAAAAAAACAAAATCCAGCTACTGTAAAATGCATATAGTGCCGTTACTGCTCCAAAACACACGACTTTGCGGAGTGCCCCCTGTTAAAAGTGGATCTAGACTTTTAAAAGCCTAACACCAGCAAAAAGTACTCCAACTGTTCAGGTGCACACAGCGCTACCTACCTGAGCCCGTATCTAAAGTAAATCAAGAAAGCAATTACTACTGCTGTCATAAGAATCACCCCTAACACATAAGCAAACCGAAGGTACTAGGCGGCCATAACAACCACGTTTCATGATGAAAAACAAGAGGTGTCGCTACAGCAGACATTTCAAGGCCCCAAAACCAAACTGAGCTGCTGAAAACGAAGATTCAGTCCTTAAAAGTAAGAAACCAGCAGCCGAAACCAAGAGACCCAAGGAGAGAGACAAGATAAGATTCATGAGAAGCCTCATACAAAAATTACTTTAGACCCAAACTTTGGAATCCGAAATCGCCTACATTTCAAAATTCAACTCAGATATGCAGACAATAATCACAGACAGCCAGGAAAAAAAAAAAAAAAAAAAAAAAGGAGAAATCCCAAAGCTGATCCAGAGACCCAAGTACTTCTGACGAAGACGAAGATAGCAACCTGGAACAAGTGAAAGCAGAGCAACTAGAACTAGCAGAAAAAGTCATGAAACTCAAAGAGGCAAACACAAACTGCGACTTGATGTGTGTTTGAGAAGCGGGAGAGGGCACGCAATTAGGCAATAAGAGTAGCGGCAATCGACGCCCAGTGCGATCGAGAATAAAAACGCCAGAACTGGTCAAATACACCGATAAATGTGTAAAGGAATTGCAAAGACAAAGGCACCTCCCTAGCAGAAATTATGCTAAAGTCCGCCACGAGACACGAGAAATATGGGCTACCCATCTACCTCAAAACGCCAATCAAAAAGACCCCAGAGACCCCCAAACCACAGACCCCAGGTACCCTGGCAACTCCTAAGACGCAGACGACTACCCGAGCCTGAACCACAGAGTCAGAAACGACCCAGACTAGAGCACCAGAAACCAGACAGTGCAAAAAGCCCAGCTAATGAAGAAACCCAAAAGCTAGGCCGCCATCTTAGAGGACAAGCCTGCTCGCCAAAAGGAGGAGGCTTGGACAGCTCCAGACCAGATAGCAGAAACCAGGAGACGCAATCCATACAGGTTCCAGACTGGCCAGGGCAATCTGAGTCTTTTTCGGGACTAGCAGACTCCCCTCCCAGAAAAAAAATTAAAAGCCTTACCAAAACCCGCCTAACCAGACCATGTCGGACATGTTTCAATAAATAACACATGTTAGACTTTGTTGGCAAATAGCAGAGGGACACTGGCAGACAATTCGGACACGATATGATGGACTTTAAGGGATGAGACTTTTTTTTCCCCCCTCGGACCAGCCTACAGAGGGCCTTCCCCCACGACGTTCCACTGTGTCCAATGCCAGCTCAAGCCTTAATGCTTAATCACATTGTACATTGAAGTTGAGACAAGACGTCTTGCGCCTACCTCGACTGCGAATGTTCTTACTGTGTAAACTTCGTCTCTCCTCAGATCAGCCGCGAGGTCAATGTATTTCTCAAGCTTATACACATGAATTTCGTCCATTCGAGACTCATACGGCACGGCCAGCTCAATCACGCTGAGCTGTCGTTTCTCCGCAGAGTGTAGGACTATGTCGGGTCGCAAGCCAGTCTGCCGGATTAACTGTGGGTACTTTTCGTGACCAAGCAGGTCAACCGCCAGTAGCCAGTCCCTCGCACAGTCAAGCATTGATTAAGCTTATGCGACCTTGTTGAATTTACTTTCATAAATCTGCCCAGCCTTGAGGAAGCGCACGGGGACAACAGTAGGACTGGCCCTCGCATTAGCCATCATCCTAGCTTGGTCCACCCGGCCGCTATATTAGAAGAGGTTCATTCGCTAACTGAGCTCGAATTCTGATTCTGTGTGGCGATCGATTTCGCCTGAGTTTGGTTAACCACCCACTGCACAAAGCTATACTCGAAACAAAAAGAACGCGTCTCAAAAAAGGCCGCTTTTCGATGGCAAAGGCTGAGGCTTTAATTCAGCAGGTATGGGACCTAGACGTGAATACACCAGTAGACATGCATGGCTTCTCTAAGGTTGTCATCACACTCAGAAGGTACAGCCGGGATCAAATTCCTGAGGCCGTAGACACAGAATTAAGGGAACTGATAGATCAGCATTCAGACCCAGAAGATATCATCATCTACACAGATGGATCCGTGAAGCGCGGATCAAAGTCAGCATGGGCATACACAGCGCAAAGGAGGGGGAAAACAATACAGGAGGACAGCGGCGCTTACCAGACAACCATGTCAAGCATGACCATGGAAATAGCCGCTGCTTCTAGAGCTTTAGCATAGGTATCTGAGCAAACCGCCTCACAGGCAGTTATTGTATCAGATTCCATTAATATGCTTCAAAAGATAGGAACAAGCTGGAAGCGCTCTGAATGTGTAGTAAGCATTCGAAAATCGCATTTAACCTCCGTAACCTGGATCTACACACTGGGTCATGCCGGCGTAAAGGAAATGAGCGAGCGGACCAGCTGGCAAACACTGCACTAAGGATTGCGGGAAAAAGCAGGGACAGAATATATATCGTCAACGCTGTACGGACTGGGCTAGTGGATAATGAGGAATTCCTGACACTAGCACGATTGCTTGACATGGGAGTAAAGCATGGTGAAGCACGTCTTTGCAGTCTTCGAGGCCGAGATAGGAGACAATATATCAAGATTCTCATAGGAACAATTAGTATAAGTACTTTGAAGTGGCTGCTGCATCGGAGGACTGAGAACGCATGGGAATGCCCAATGTACAGTGACGTCGATTGTGATAACAGAAAATAACATAACATCTTGCAGTCGGCAGTCCGAAAACCACCTTCAAGGTGTCTTCTTCAGGCCAAAGAACTGCATGGCTGTTGGGGAACAGTAGTTAACGAAGGCAGTCAGGTCGTTGTAGGGGCGACGCTTGCTGGTGGATGTAATGTCCTAAGTCTCTTCACCAGCTAATAGTGAGTATACTGCTGGGGTGACCGTTCATCAACCCTCACATAATGCTTCAGGTCAAAATGGACGCTATTCACAGCCACTTCTTTTAGCCGTAGCATTTTTTTTTTTTTTTTTGGCTTTTGCTAGACGGTGGCCGTTGCATTCTTGCGTCATTTGTAGACTGGAAGGATATATTTTCGTTGCCCAGCTTCTGAGTTGAGTGCATGGCGTGACACTGTGAGCTGCGGATTTCATTTTTAACTGTGATAAACATTTTGTGTGTTTTTCATTGGCACAGAAGCGGAATAACTATGGAGTGACCAATTTGCTGTGAAGCTGAGACTAAGATTATCAGATTACCAGATTACAACAGCCGCTAACTCTTTCAGGACCTTGTCGTGGCGCCAAGTATATCTTCCCTGACCTAGGGGTTTTCTGCACGCGGACAATACGTGCTCGTTCGTCTGTTTAACTCTACACAACGGGAATGTAGGATCGGTAGCCGCATGTCATTTGACCATGTTGACAATGGACGGAAACACATCATAAGCAGATCGTAAAATATCGCTCAACAGCAGCGGGGCCATTGGCCAGATCTCACCCCATATGAGTACTGCCTATTTTAGAAACACCTGGCTACTGCCTCCATAACGTCACGGGATGGAGAAATTTAAGAATGAATAAAACCTGTGCCGACGACGTTTATAATACCATTTTGTGAGCTTGAGAAGATGCAAACTTGGGAGGCTGTGACAGTACAATTTCTTTTTGTTTTGATTGTAATCACTGGTGTAGTCTTAGGACCCTGGCTTTCATCCTCTAACATGTTGGTATCGAGATGTTATCGATGTTGCTGGATAAACTGAATTGTTATCAGATTTTGGAATTTTTCCCATCGGTGCCCTAGTTCCATTTTGATATGTTAAAAAAGCTTAACTGATGTGCTAGAGTAGACTGCAACAGACACGAACCGAAGGAGAGTCATTGCAAATGTTGATCTTTAAGAAAAAGAAAAGTACACATTATTTATTCCCTCAAGTAGACAGACTGCCCTGCACTCAGTACCCTTTTACTCATTGTACCATCTGAGAAGCCTTTACCCTTACTGCTACCTTATGTTATTATTGGGGTATGCAGTAATGCATGTGTGAGGTAGCTAAATAAGTAAACTTATCTGTTACGTTAATTCATGTTATCCCTAATGTTACATCTGCTTGATCTGTTATTGGTATCTTCGATCTATGTGTATCTTTTCATAACTTGTTTTTAGATCAACTTTTGATGCTATATGCTACATCATCTGTTTCTCTGACTCAGACATGTACCGTATTTTTTTTTTTTTAAACACAGCAGAAGGACGATTGCATGCCTCAGTTCCCTGTAGCTATGGCATAAATGGTTAGCTCACACATGCGATTCTAACTTGTGACGTACGTAAAATATTACCAAAAGATACCAAAGAAAAGCCGCAAAGGTAACCCTCCGTGATCGAAAGAAAAATTGTACTATCCCACACAGTGATCTTGTGTCAATGTATTGAGAAAAAGAAGATCAAATGATTTGGTCATCGCATTAGAATTTTTCCACAGCAATTACAAATACAGACACTAAATATGAAAATATAGTAACACAGATTTGCAGTGAGAGGAAACAAACGCCTTAAACCACTCATCTACGTGAAGAAAAAACCAGTACTACCCACTGAGCACTGAATTTTAAAATGTTCCGCCCCACAACACAGCAAGGCTGGACGTTGATAAAGATGATGACGATAGTGGTGATGATAGTGGTGGTGATGGTGATGATGATAATGAATAGCCCAGATATAAAGAATACAAATACTTGGTGTAATCCATAGTGCTTTTGAGAAGTTTAGCAAAGGCGTCTTTCTTGATTGAAATAACGTTGTTTATGAAGTTGCTCTCGTCAATCGTCACCTGGAGACATAAAAAGCTATGCCTGATCAATGCTAACAACAAACGTCTGAGACGGCTAATTCTATTGTAAAATTATGATGGAAATACTCTGATTCAGCTTTGTGTGTGTGTGTGTGTGTGTGTGTGTGTGTGTGTGTGTGTGTGTTTGTGTGTGTGCGTGGAAAAAGAGGGTGGAGTGGGGTGGGGGTGGGGGTTAAATTCAAACTGTAAGGTCATCGCCAGTTTGTTTAAAATAGTAGCTATAAGGCATCAATCAGCCCCTCTCTACTTAAAAAGAAAACAAAAGCAACATGATTCAGATAAAGGAAGGAACCAGCTGAACAATATAACTGACATGTCATAACACGTTTCCTTGTGTGCATGTTCATAGTGCCAACATGCTTGTGTTGGAAGATAGTAGCAGACTATCTAGCGGATGGTTTTGCTTTGACGTTGACAACTAATTGTCCGGCTGTGGCACCGTTCAGACAGCAATAGCAAACTAGTGAACACAAAACTGTTGAGTAAAACACAGGGCAATCAATGCTGGGGCTGGGTTGCGACACAAATGCCAGCAACTGGCCATGTATTCTTATAACACTACTCAACAATCAAAATGTACTACACGTGAAAACAGCTGATCTTTACTAATTTTGTTTTAGACAAAAATTTGTGATAAAGCGGAATGGCTCTAGGTTTTCAAGATATTTTCCATTAGTTTATTTAATGTCTTCTGTATATATATATATATATATATATATATATATATATATATATATATATATATATATATATATATATATATGTGTGTGTGTGTGTGTGTGTGTGTGTGTACCCATATGTGTACCCATTTATGTTTAATTGAGCTGATCTGAGCTGGGTCAAGAGACATCACAACACTTAGGTAATTCCCATAAGCCCTCTGTCCTCATCTTCAGCAGCCAGTACAGAGTTACATTACTAATGGTACATAACGCAGTTTGATTATGTGTCTATCTTGCCATTCCTCTGAATTTAGTGTGCCGGCCCATGTGTTTCATTCTCTCCAGGCCATGATAATTTTTTTTGTCTTTAGACTTCATTACTTGTTTCCCAAGGGCCGTGACCACATGTGCCTTGTCATGTATTAATTCACCACCGAGAGGTGCAGATCCAGACAATCTGTCTGCCTTGTTCAGCTGTTCTAGTGACCCCAATATGGAACAGTTAGTTTTTCTCCTTCGGTCACCATAAAACCACAGGATATATCCTAACTTTACAGCAAATTGTATTATGGTTGACACATCTGGATATGGAGAGATATTTGTCGCAATTGTAGATGTACCTAACTGGTTGATGCTTTTCAACCGCTTATCGAAAAATGGTTGGAATCTGACGATCCCAAAAGGTTGATAATTGTTACTGAGTGAAAAAATTGTAATCCTTCTCAATGCCAGTACTCGCCTTCCTCTTGGAGGACATTTTGAACAAACTTTTTCTAGAAATGAATGTCTATTGTTGATAAGGACGCATGTGTCAGAACTTCGAAATCACACATTTTGATTGTACTGTTCTTTATGGAAACTTGTCTTTTGACTTTACCCCAAACAAAGCTCTCATTGAATGATATACAGGGAGTTGCAGAGATGTGTGGCTGTATTAATTTATGATTTTATCAATGTGATACACCCTTGTCTTATTTATTTTGTCAGAACCCTGTTTGTACAGTCTCATGTGTAGGGGTAGAACCCAGAGTTGACGCAGAGGTCAGCACGATGGATGACATGACTGCCTAAGTATGTACTGTTGTAAGTTAGGGGAAACCACGCCCTTCTCTAATTATTCAGTCCTGACAACTGAATCACGGTACATTTTGAAGGAGTCCCCCTCGAAATTAGGTTACTGGGAGCGTTTCCATGTTGCATTGTGTGACATATTAATATGCTTACAAAGTCCTGTGTTCTAAACGTATTCGTATTTCAAATCTACAAATGGATATTGTCAAGTGGATATACAGCAATTTTAATTTTAATTCACGGAAGACAGTCTTTTTGTGATGTGTGTGTCAGTGTCACTGTTTCCAGTCAGTAGTTCGGATTTTTGGGAACAAGCTGTTTATTACTTTTATACTTTAAATGTAGAAATCTTACTTTTAGGGATAATACAAACAGGTAATTTAGAAGCCATATCTGGAGAATATCGACAGTTGTCAGGTGCAAACTATCTTGTGTTTAAAGAAAACTATTGCTTTCATATTGACTGTGCATAAATGGTGCAGCCAAACTGTGGATAAATTGTGTTAAGATATTTTGGAGCTCTAGGTAAGTGGATGAAAAAAAAAATTTAATTTACTAACTAACCTCTCACAGCAAGTCACTCTTTGCCTCTTTACTAATTGTTGACTTACAGTATAATTATATGTTGTGGCAGTACACTAATAATATTAATCCTTAACCATTTGACTTATGCTTCGCAAACACTGGCTGTAAACTCTTGCGGAAACTTCTGGTAGTTCATCCACTTCTTTTGCATATTTGCAGTTCTACGGTCTGTTAATTTTTGTAAACTGGCTTTTGCTTTGCTTTGCGAACACTGGCTGTAAACTCTTGTGGAAACTTTTGGTAGTTCATCGACCTCTTTTGCATATTTGAAATTCTACAGACTGTTAATTTTTGTAAACTGGCTTTTGCTTTGCTTCGCGAACACTGGCTGCAAACTCTTGCGGAAACTTCTGGTAGTTCATCAACTTCTTTTGCATATTTGCAGTTGTACGGTCTGTGTTAATTTTTGTAAACTGTCTTTTGCTTTGCTTCGCGAACACTGGCTGTAAACTCTTGCTGAAACTTTTGGTAGTTCATCGACTTCCTATACATATTTGTTACCAAAAAATTCGCAATGCTAAGGAATTGATTTCATCCAACAAGATGAAACTGGAAAAATGTGTTTGTGCTGTTTGTACCTTGAGGATACATATTTAGTAGTGCTATAAGTACTGTTAAGAAAACTACTCTAGGTGAAAAAAGTATTGCACATATCAATTTCATGCTGATTGTGCTTGTTTACTAATTATTAAATAACAGTATAATTATATGTTGTAGTTGTCTACTAATAATAATAATAACCATCAATTATTTATATTTATATTATGTATGATATGTGTATGTTTCATAGCAGTATTTTTATGCGCTAAATTTGATAAAGTACAAATGTCACCCCTCCCCTTCCTCGCTCCTCTGATGCTACAATACCCTCTCAGAAAAGAGTTAGCACTGATAATTCTTTACTTTTGCTGGAACAACTTTTAGTTTACATCTAAATGTTATTGATGTTTATGTTCATGTTGACTGTAGCAAAAGCATTTTTGTTTGTCTGTAAGAGCCTTTATTGTTATATTTATTCGGCACACTTATTTACCTTAAAAATGACGTATAGTTCTAAAAAAATATGTCGAAAATTAATAAAACTGTAGTTTAATTTGCCTATACATCTCCTCGATAAAAAATGTGGACGCAGAGGGACTCAATTCTTGCACAAGAACGGGAATTCCCGCTCGATCTGTACGGCCTTTTAAATCTGGAGCTGGCCGTGGGGGAAAATACCGCTCAGCGAGACCCAGTGGTGGCCGCGATTCAGTGCTGAAAGAGTGAGAGTGAACTCTCTTTCTGCCGGTTTCATGTCATGTTTTCTACATGACCCGACCTGGGCGAAATTACCCTGCCAAAAGTCACGAGGTGGGAGGCCACCGGCATTTTACTTTGAGCTTCAGATAGGAGACAGGGACATGTTTAGTTGGACAGAAGTAGAACATTAGGAGTTAGAATAATACTTTAGTGACCGTATAGACTGTGTCAAGTGTTAAGTTATGGTAGGATAGACTCCTATTGTTGTGTAACGTTTAAAATGTTGGTATATTCTGATCAGTAGAAGCGGGTAGTCTTCTTCTTCTTCTTCGCGTTCACCAGCTGTAAAATCTGGCGGAAGGTTCTGGTTGCTCGTCCACTACTGAACTGCAGTCCTGCTCCAGAACCTGAGTGTTTCGTGTGCATCAGTTTTACAGATCTCATTCTTTTGAATACAGACTGTTGGTTCCTTGCCTCTCCGGCAGATGCACTTCGACTTCAAAGGAAGCTCCCCAATTAGTCGAATCTTACGACATGCTTTTGGCGAGGCAGTGGGTCTATTCTTGTTTTCCCCACAATGGGGCCCCAGAACCCACACGGGGGAGAAGCGGGTAGTGATCTGGTTTGTGTGATGATTTGTAGCCTTGGCACATTGTCCCTGCACACGACAGAATCTCTGCGATCCTGGTGACGTCCAGTGACAAGGAAAAAAGCGTATCTCGCATAGGTGTAGTTCTCAAACCTGTGATTTGCCCGAGAGAACGCACTGGAGTGCGTAGTGAATGTAAAGTTCGGAAGGCAAGGGTTCCGGGTAAGAGGTGGCCATGCAGCGGGAAGTCAACTATGCTACTGTTAATCTGTGATTAACATTAAAGATTGTCATGTGTGCTCTGTGTGCGTCGGGGTTCAATGTATGCTAGGTTTAGATTGTCTGTCAGGGACCCACCCAGCAAGCTACGGACCATCAAGGTCAATCGGAGCTCTATGACAGTTTTCCTCACAAGCTGCAACAATTCTTCCTTCAAATATGTGTTGTCAAAGTAGACATTTTTCCTTGGGAACCATGTTCTAATTTGATCTTTTGTGTTTGAATTCGTTTGCAATTTGTCTTCCTCTGATACGGCATCGAACTATTGCCCTGATCAGTCATGCAAGTAAAATTCTACTAAAAATTATAATGAGAAGACTGCAAAAGAAAATGGAAGAAGAGATTAATGTAGCTTAGGCTGGATTTAGACAGGGAAGAGGAACAAGAGATCATATATTCAACATGCGTTTAATAATAGAGAAGTGTAGAGAATTTAATGTAAATCTGTTCTTATGTTTTGTGGATTATTCAAAAGCATTTGACTGTGTACGACATCAGAAGCTTTGGGAAATCATGAGGAATATGGGCTTTCCATCACATATAGTGCAGCTCATTAAAATGCTCTATCAAGACCAACAAGCAGCAGTCAGAATAGATGGAGAGACATCAGACTGGTTTGGCATCAAGCAAGGAGTCCGTCAGGGATGTGTGCTGTCACCGTATTTGTTTGTTCAACCTGTACGCCGAAAATATAATGAGAAATGTAAGAGATGATATAAACAAGGAACAATATGATGCCCTAAACATCGGTGGTCATGAAATACCAGAAATTCGTTATGCTGATGATACAGTATTACTATCAACATCACAAAATGGTTTAGAAAACTTATTAACCTCACTCCAAAGAAATAGTGAAAATCATAACTTATTTCTTAACACAGCAAAAACAAAAAGATAATGCATACAAACAAAACTGCCATGGAGAAGGAAATATATGTTAATGAGGAAAGATTGGAAGTGGTGGAAAATTTCGAATATCTTGGGGTCACTGGTTACCAACAATGGTGACACAATGAAAGAAATTAAACGGCGACTATCAATTGCTCTTCAAAGACTAAAACAACTGAATAAATTATGGAATTGTACAGATAGAATTACAAAGGTCAGATTTTTAAGAGCATGCATCTTTCCCATTGCAACATACGCCTGTGAGACCTGGACACTTACTAAACAAGCGGAACAGCGCATAAATGCATTTGAATATAAATGTTACAGACAGGTTCTAAGAATATCTTGGTAAAGAAAAGAACAAATGCATCCATACTTCAAGAGCTGAATATTGAAGAGGGTTGGCTAGTAAAGACAATTAAAACAAAGAAAATTGAAATATTTTGGTCACTTGAAACGTCATGGAGGTCTAGAGAGAACAATAATGGAGGGGTATATGCCTGGGAAGAGAGGAAGAGGAAGGCCAAGGAGAAGATGGGTGCAGGATGTGGCAGATGATCTCCAGATGGGTGTATCAGACGCAGGACATCTTGCTCATGATAGGAAGGTTTTCCGGAGGGTTGTTATGGCAGCGAGGTTCCGCGAGGGACATGCTACTGAATGAATGAATGATACGGCATTATGATAGGCGGCAATATCCATTACTAGGCCAGGTGGTCTGTCCAGAATTTGAAGAAGATTATTCTCCATCTAGTGCATGAAAATGTGTCTGTTGATTTCAGTATGGTAGTCCCTACCATCTGTACTCTTTGAATGGAAAATATGTCCAGCAGCATGGATACGGTTTTTTCATTGCTTCCTGCATAAGTAAGTATAATTCGCTGACCTTTGCTGCTTGAAATGTTTTTTTCCTGTTCACCGTTTATTGACTGTTATTCTTGAGCATAGGTCTAGTGAGCATTAACCCAGCATTCATCGAAATATACAGTATCATAGCCTTGCTTCCATCGTTCACTGATCTGCCTTAGGTATTTGCTTCGAGTAGCAATCAAATGCGCCATTTGCACAAAAAATATTGCTACCACCTACAGTTTGACTGAAAGTGAACCCTGTGGCGCTTACAATTTTCCACACACTACTTTTTGAAATGTCAATACTGCATTGCGATTTCAATGTTAATTTCTGTTTTCGGAGAGTAACAAGTTGATTCGTCTTGTGTCTAATGACATCTACATCCAAGTCGTCAACTTTCTGTTTACCCTCCTTGATTGACACCAGCGTACTCCGTATCCTGTCTAATCTACCTGTTAAATGATGCTCTGTCCAGACCAAGCGCCAGTCGTGTTCGTTTCTGTGAGTCATGAACCTCACAATATAAATGACCCATCTTAGTTTCGCTGAGGATGTGCTGGTACAGTAAAACGGTAACATTCTGCATTGTTATAAATTTGCATCTCAAAGTCTTATTGAAGTTGATGTCTGTCAGCGTTTATAAGCTAGTTATATGACAAAATCACTCAACACTAATTTGTAGATACGCTTTTGACTAAACAACCTTGACTGATGTCTTATTTCGGCTTCCGGTCACAAAAGTGGCGTTTGCACGAAAAAATCGTGAAATTGCGTAGGTTTGCTTGACCCCCAGCTCAACCAGACATTTTGTGCCATACTTCCTAAACTAATGAAAATAACATGCTAAAAGTCTACCAAGACGGCTTCATGATAAAATATCCATCGTTAAAAAAAAATATTCTTCTTAAGTGAAAGAAAAGTATTTCCTTAAGGTCGTGGATATTCTGTATGCAAAAAACTATTAGCGATATAACAGGCAGTTTTCGATCAAATGGCTTGCATGTGTGTTGATATATTGTTAGAGGAACTATAGCTAGAAAATGACGATTCAGTCCTATCTATGATTACATCACCAGTCTGTATCAATATCTCATCTCTGATTTACAAAAAAATATAATTAGTTAATTAATTTGTCTTTGTCAAAAGTATCTTAGTAAAAAATGTGTAGGACATATGTAAACAGTGCTAAACATGTATGTTATATATGTGGTAAGGGGGCCTTCTAATAAACATTTGAAAAAACATATATTTTAACTAAAATGGTTAAGAAGACCTTCAGTTTCAGGCAGAGAAAAAGTTGTACACATGCAATACTGTCTTTGAGACAGATATGCGAGCAGTCATTTAAATATGATACAAGTTGACACTTTACTTGCATAGATCTAGAGAAGGCTTTCGATTGAGTCAATAGATGTAAAATATGGAAAACTCTAGACGATTACCGTTTTCAAAAAAAAAAAAAAAAAAAAAAAAAAAACAACAAAAAAAAAAAAAAACTTGGATAACGTCATCGCTCTTTATAAAGATAGTCATTGCACAGTAAGAACAGCAAAAGGAATGACAGAATGGTTCCCCATTTTATCATGTATCAGACAGAGATATATCTTCTCAATATTTCTATTCATTACTTACATGGATAGAATTACACTGGAGCCAAAGACAGACACTAAAGAAAATAACAACATTATTTTGCCAGGCGACCATTGTCTTAAAAAAAAAAAAAAAACAAGAACCTTATTCTTTACAGCAGAACATCTGGGATGAAGGCGAGGGTAGCCCCATAAAAAAGATGGAGAAATTGTTTAGCTAAAAGCTGCAAAAAGATAAACAAATCCTTCACCGAGGCCACATGAGAAGCTCAGGACAAATACAGAAAACCTCACTGGGCTACAACCTGGTATCAGTGAGACGACAAACGAAGAAAGGAAAGGATAAAGGAGGCGTACAGTTTGTATTTTGCTGCAGAATAATTAGATCAAAATAAAAGCTGAGCGCCAAACATATGCTGCAGTTCACGTGCAGAAACATCTTAAACTGTATTGAAATAACAAATGACAAGCTATGTCTGTGTAGTCTCAACGATTTGAAGAGTCCACTAATCATCTCAACAACTGTTACTTTTGCATGGTCCCTACGATTGGGAACTGCCAACGAGGACAAAACGGTCTCTAGAATATCTAAAAGTGTGAGATCTAAAGTGTGGCTGATTTTGGGATGATTACCACCAGTTTTGGTTACTGGATATCTTTTCTCACTATTCTTTTGACGACAGAAAATTCAACTTCAAAACAGAACAACTGCAAAAAATGATACAATCAGCAATAATACTTACATTTACATAAAAGGCTTCCACAAAGGTTGTGTTGGTTGCCTCTTTGAGATACATTACACTTGTTGATATTGATTCAATCTACATGAGATATTTAATTTAGGTTGTTTCAATATGTGATCAGCAACTCACTCCAATATCACTTCCTTATGCTAATATAGAACATCAAAACGAATACAACTGAAAAAATATGTTTGTAGAATCTGACCCATTACAAACAGTGTTGACTGAAGCTTCTTTGCTGCAGATGTGATCCCCTACCCACCACACCCCCGCCCAACAACAAAAATAAAAAATGTCAAGTGCCTTTTTTCAAAGAAAGAATGACTAGCCACCGAAACAAGCTGTAGGAGTAGCTAATCAGATAAAATCGGGAATGTTGTCATCATAGTTATTATTATTATGCACTTAAACACGGCTAAATATCCATGAGACTGGCCCTTAAAACATGAGATGAGGCTTGAGGCTCACCTTCCCCATACACACAATTTTGCGTGTTTGATGAGCACATGAACTGAACCCATTACTTCTAAAGCTATTATAAAGTACTATCTACAATCCAGACTTATTATACCTGAACATAGTAAAACAGCTTTCATGATTAGACATTCGCCGCTAATGAAATCATACATCGTACTACCTCATTATTCTTCCTTCCAGTTTAAACACTCAGGCAACAGCATATTAGAATAAACTATACCATATGGAATCGTATTGTACATTTTGTTATGTATTCAATTGTAACGTATACCAGTGAAAGATGGACAAGCATTTAAAAAAAAAAAAAAAAAGTTGAATTTGTTTGAAAATAAACGCCGAAGAAAACTGATGAACGCCTAAATGGAATGAATTCAAGAAAGGGGAACAAAAAAGGAGATGTCTAGAGAATCGCTGGTTTCAACAGTGCTACGTCTAAGAAGAGCGCCATGTACACTGGGGACATCCTGATAAGAATGACAGAGAATCACGAAACAGACACTGCCCTCGAAAAGAAATATTGCAAGGAATCGATGGCGTCTAACAGAAACATTAGGAGCAACACTTATTCCATTCGTAATTTCAAAAGATGACCTAACATAGAACAGAAACAATGATTAAAATAAGAGCAGATAACATGAATAATAATCAAGAAGACTGCAAGTTAAGGGGTCACTACACGGCCTTTTTTCAAATTTATGAAAAGAAAAAATATCACTTTTTCAATGTGTTCGTTTTTGTAAAGTTCGGCATTCTTAGAATAGATTACACACAAAATTATGTCATTTGTTAACAATTTAGCTTTGAAAAGGTAATACTAAAGGCACTAACCCATGCACTTTTTTAAGATAAAAAAAAGTTTACAAGTCATTTTTCTCACATCTCTATATTTCTGTTTGTTGTGTGTGTGAAATCCTAAAATCTCAGCTAAAAAAAAAAAAAAAAAAACTAGAAATATGAAAGTTAGTGTGGATACTTCGTCAACAATATTACATGGACTGGTGTTTTCATAAGTAGATTTTAGTAAGTTTTTTTTTTTTTTTTTTTAATTTGATTATTTTCTTATGATGCAAGATTTTTTTTGACTTTTTCAATAAACCTACATTTTAAAATTCTAAGAAAAATATTTAAGACTATGTTTAAAATAAAAAAAACAACACCTGTACCGCTAAATATGACAATAAATCTTGAATCTATCATTTATTTTTAAATACGTATGTTTGTTACTGAAATTTTAGGATTATGAGTACATGTTGCTTTTCCCCACGCTATGGCGGCTATTGCCATGACAACCATCATTTTTTCATACTTAAAGCATGCAAATGTAATAATATGTATCCCTTCGAATGACCAATTTAAAATAATTGCTCCAGCTCTGTAAATGAAAAATTAAATTTTTTGGGCGTAGTGACCCCTCAAGTTCCTCGACCAAACACACACATTCAAGGTTTGTTTTGAAAGTGCAATTTGAATGTGTTCCGAGTCAAAACATGGAAATGGGAGTCGGGGGGGGGGGGGGGAGAGAGAGAGAGGGAGAGAGGACGGCGTGGGAGAGAGAGAGAGAGAGAGAGAGAGAGAGCTGCATACAATAACAAAGGAAAGAACGACTTAACATTAGTTGATTAAAGGCCTATGCTCCACTGGGAGTCAGAACGCAGAAGAAGAAGCAGTGGTTATCACATCCGCCTATTACGTGGACAATTCTGAGTTCAAGATCCGACAGAAAGCTTTTCTTTTTAGGTCTAAAATCTATTTTTTATTTTTTTCATTTATTAATCTTCAGTTCCCATGACAACGGAGGTCGAAGTACTGAAATAAATTTGTGATAACAAGGGTAAATGAAATTAATTGTACTGACCACAGAACTAGATTGAGTCTTTTCCTGGCAAAGCCAGCCATTAAAACCTATCAGCGTCACATAACACACAAATGTTGTGTTTGGATTGCGACCTTTCTATGCGAACTCACAATGATATATTTCTAATATTTCAAATAAAACTTCTAAGTAGAACAAAAATGAACATTACGCTAACCAGAAAGTAAATTCGTTTTTTAGGTGGTTGGATATTTAGTCAATCAGTCAGTCAGCTATACCTATCTTACTGCAGAGCGAACGATTCAGATCTCAACTCGTTATATGCAACAGCTTGAAACACCAATGTCTGTGTTGATTTAGTATTCTTCTTTGGCAGCACTCAAACGCGTTTACTCAAACTCATCTAGTTTGACAGCAGATCTCTGCTGCAGATTTAGTGTAAACACAATTCTTGTAACATTCAGTATATCATCTTGGCACATTGCCTGTGCTCTGCCGCCACACTATAAAGGTAAACAAGTGAGATGTGAACCAGCGTCACTGCAGACGGTTATAAACCATAAGTGCTCTGCCACAAGTACGGACAACTGATAAGAAACTGTCCGCCTGTGTCACTGACCGCCTGTGTCACTGTCCGCCTGTGTCACTGTCCACCTGTGTCACTGTCCACCTGTGTCACTGTCCGCCTGTGTCACTGTCTGCCTGTGTCACTGTCCGCACGAAACTCAGTAGCTACAGCGACGGCGTGGGAGCTGCGTTTCCCAGAGGCTGGGTGAACCCTGGAAACCACCCGGTTTCGAACACCGGTCGTGTGCTGCAGCGAGTTGCAGCTGGATTTGAAAACGAGCCTCCTATCGACTGCGCTAACTGGGGCCCCGACGCCACACTGTATGTGTGGCTATCATGATCTTCGTCATCCATATTTGTAGGTTTCAGATGTTAGCACCGATCCGTTCCAGACGATAGTGTTACTTTGTGCTGTAGGAATATATCAGAATAATACATAGCCCTTATTGATGACGAGCATAACTAGCAAGACCAGAAGCCGTTAACAAACAATTCAACAATAATTTCATGGGGACGACTGTTACCACTGACTGTCGACATGTCTGTTCTCCATCGCTCTGTTTGTATCCTATTCCCAATAAAATGTTCACCCATTCATCCTCATTATGTTCATGATTCTTCACTCCATGCAACGCGATCCATGGCATGCATTTCATACCAATCCGCAATGTTACCTGTTTCACTCATTTACGTACGGTACACATCGAACACACACAAACCTTTTCATCAATGTAGTCTCTTCTGTTTATCCATGTGTTTCCAAAAAGCCGAGTATACAACAGCGCCTTAAATTCTGTTAATATGGCCTTCACCTGCACAGAAGCAGAGAGTTAACTTTAGAGTAGGTTGCGAAACATTTGTAGGTAAAATGTGAAGAGTAGGTTGCGAAACATTTGTAGGTGAAATGTGAAGCGTAGGTGGCGAAACATGTGTAGGTGAAATGTGAAGAATAGGTTACTGACAATATGTAGGTCAAATGTGAAGAGTGGCATACTGACAATATGTAGGTGAAATGTAAAGAGTAGGCTACTGACAATGTATAGGTGAAATGTGAAAAACAGGTTACTGACAAGGTGTAGGTGAAATGTGAAGTGTAGGTTACTGACAATGTGTAGGTGAAATGTGAAGAGTAGGTTACTGACAATATGTATGTAAAATGTCATGAGTAGGTTACTGATAATGTGTAGGAGAAATATGAAGAGTAGGTTACTGAAAATGAGTAGGTGAAATGTGAAGAGTAGGTTACTGACAAGGTGTAGATGAAATGTCAAGAGTCGGTTACTGACAATGTGTAGGTAAAATTTGAACAGAAGGTTACTGACAATGTGTAGGTAAAATGTAAAGAGTAGGCTAATGACAATGTGTAGTGTAAAATGTGAAGAGTAGCTTACTGTCAATGTGTAGGGAAAATGGGAAGAGTAGGTTACTGACAAGGTGTAAGTGAAATGTAAAGAGTATGTTGCGAAACATCTGAAAGTGAAATGTGAAGAGTAGCTTACTGACAATATGTAGGTGAAATGTGAAAAGTAGGTTACTGACAATGTGTAGGTAAAATGTGAAGAGTAGGTTAATAACAATGTGTACGGAAAATGTGAAGAGTAGGTTAATGGCAATGTGTAGGTAAAATGTGAAAAGTAGGTTAATGGCAATGTGTAGGTAAAATGTGAAAAGTAGGTTAATGGCAATGTGTAGGTAAAATGAAAAGAGTAGGGTAATGACAATGTGTAGGGAAAATGTGAAGAGTAGGTTATTGGCAATGTGTAGGCAAAATGTGAAGAGTAGGTAATGACAATCTGGTGGTGAAATGTAAGAGGTACTGACAATGTGGTGGTGTGCTGTTTGCGCGTGTGTAAGTCTATGTGAGTGTGTTTCAGTTTTTTAAAATTTGTTTTGCATTCTTCAGCAGGGTTGTTGCTCGTACAACTTTCAAAATCTACGCTAACCGGTCTTCTGCGACCTCACATGCCAATGGACTCCAACAAGACATTCCGGAATTATGAAGCGTTTTGCAACGCTTAAGACAGAAACTAAAAAAAATAGCCTATCATGACTAGATCCAGTGAAGCTTCGTTAAAAAACATTTCAAAGACCCAAGTTCGCATTAAAGGAAATTCGTTTTAGCCGGCGAGTAGTTACAATAAAATATCCACTCTGAGACTCTTGTTAAGGTTTTACTGTCATTGAGAATTCGGTTATAGTAACGTTGATCTCACAATTTACACTGTAGTACACGCTAGCTCATTTATAATTGGTTGACCTTAAGGCACGTGTCCTTGGCACAAGGTTACAGGGGTGTCCCGCAATGCCGTTGATATTGCGTATTGTATATTTCAGCATGCCAGCGCTTTTAACACTCCAAAAACATCGACAAACTGGGTCTAACACAAAACCCCCTTAGAGAGTGATGAAACCTATGCCACATGTATTATGTTTCTCAGAATATAAACATAAATGTTAAACAATCCAGAAAACAAACAAAGGAGCGGCACATCCGTAACCTCCAGCTAGGTAGACCAGTCCAACAAAGTCATAAATGGAACGGGACCTACTTTGTTTGGGGAAACTGTCGTTTGTTTAAATGAGAATTTTTCTGCCCGCGATGTATTCGTCTGCACTGATATTGATCGAAACTCGTAAGACTAGCGGATTTCACAGTATGTTGGAAAAGGGGGGGGGTGGGATTTGGGGGATTTTACTTGAATACAAGTGTCGAACTATCGAGGTCACGGTTTCAACTAAGTCAATAGATAAACTAAAGACACATAATTTCATTCAGGCTTGCTTTCTCACTGACTCAATGAGTGTAGGCAAGAAGACGGTTAGTAGAGGCATTGTGTCGTGACAGAATACATTTATTTTAAATGCTGTATCATAGCTGTAAAAGGAAAGAAGAATCCGAAAGACGGAGATGTTGTGAAACAGGCAAAAGTTGGATTTGGCTGCTTTCCTAAATACCACTGCATATGCAGAGCGATTACTAGAATCTAGAGTTGACTGCGAATCGACGGTCTTTAATTAAAGAGAATGCTACAACACAAAGAGAAGTCAAACAATGATAGTAATTATATCTATTTTGTCCTGTCTGTCTCAATTTAATGCTGTTAGGCGTTGCAGGTATAGCTAATTATCGGTTTACTGGATAGTGCCAGCTCAATAGCTTGCTGCGAAATGATATATTTTAGTTTAAGCATGTTGTTAACTCCATCTATCCATTCTTCTTTGTCTTCCTCTGCTTCTTGATGTTTTCATTCACTGGTTTTTTGCTCTTGCAATCGGTTTCGCATTGGTAACAAACTGCTGGCAAAACAGATGGTCTTTTAGTTTATACTGGTATTGCTGTGTGTTTAAGTACCAGGAAAAGATAAAACACTATTGACATGTTAGATTTCTGGCTCGATGTCTCTGTTCAGTCTTCCATCTGGTCTTAGGAGATGCTTCCAAGATATTTGAATTCCCCACCTGTTTCAGGAAATGTTCGTTCATTTGTATGTCGATATTTCCTATGTTGATCTTCATGTTGTTTTAGATACAGCTTTTGTCTTTCCTAATTATAACAATCAGGCCACACAAAGGCATTATGCAGTGGGTCAAAACAGATTCTTAAATCAAAAAAGAATTGGCGTAATAAGTCTTTACATGAAAATATTTCTGAGGGTATCCTTACACTTTAGACTTTGCGATTCTGAATGCATGATGATGTTCTGTCGACAAACTACCAAACCAGACACAAAGTAATCAAGAGATGAGGAATCGATGTTGGGCCTGGATAGGACAGTGAAAATGCGAATTTGATATTCTTACTTTTCCACTGAATTTAAAATAAAATGGTGCCAAAAGAAATACTGAATTGACAGTTTCAAAATAAATTTAATAATATTTGGACAAAAAGGAGCCGCACAAGATGTGACAGCTCGGGTGAATTTAGTGAGGACTCGTGTTCCTTAGTAATGATAAAAAAGGCAGGCGGGAAAGAGAATATAAACAGGCAACGCATTCGAATAAAACACAAACTACCGTCTGTAATTTCTCCAGAGAAAGATGCTTCTCATACAGTATGCGATACATGACCAGGTAGAAAGCTTGTGACACATATTGAATGCAGGTGAGATCTCTAGACGACGGGGCAGTCTCACCCAAGAGCTCCTACAGGGAAAAAAAACAAATATTCTGGGGCCCTTTACCAACCCACCATTAAAGGAGGCTATCCAGACCAACAGGAGAACCGATTTTTCACGTTTTATGGTTGCTTAGCCCCAAAGCCTACGGGGGAGTCCCCCATAGGGTCCCGTGGGGAGCCCTTCGCGTTTCACGTCCGACCAGATCAGTCAAAAGGTCGACTATTTTTTCCTAAGTTCCTTTGCGCTTCTCTACCTCGAGTTTACCACAGGTACTGAGTTGCAGATTGGATAGCTTGGGGTTACGATCTCACCTATACTGTTTGTCATGGGCAATGCAGATCGTGTTAACGGGGGGCCGGGTACGGGCGGGGGCCCTTTAAATAGGGGGTCACTGGGTTGCCGCCCCTGCGCGCATTTTGGGGTGACACACTATAATAAAGGGGAGCGAGGAGTCTCCCGCCGTCCTGAATAAATTTGGCCGGGGGTCCATTGGGGCGGTATCAGTTCAAACCCAGAAATGGGATCTGCATCCTAAGGGCAAGGGTTTGGGTNTTGAAGAGATCTGATTCCATGAAATACCTGGGTATAACATTTGACAGATGCTTAGCTTTAAAAAAAAACACTTAGGCCACATTATAACCAAAGCCAAGAAAGGTATCTCCGCAATAAAAGTTATGGGAGCTGCAAACTTTCAGCGACGGCTACTTGTAATGTTGTATCGTGCGTTAGTTCTCTCCACCAATGATCTTGGATATTATGAAACTCAGCACCACACTGACGAACAGCCTAGAAAAAATTGAAAACGAGGCAATGCGTATTATTCTTGGATGCACTAGAGACACCTCCTGTAAATCCATGCGATACCTCTTGGATTTCCCTACAATGGAATTTAGAATCAAGATTTTCTCAAAGTGCTCAGACCATCGACACCCACTTTATGAGGAATTATTTAAGCCCCCCCCCCCCCTTCCCCCCCCCCCCCCCCCCCAAAAAAAAAAGTGGACTCAAACGAGGTAAATCCTGTATGGGTCGTGTTGAGGATGCCATCGAACATGTTTGATGCCTTACTGACATTAATTTTGGAATTGAATTGATAATTATTCCTCCTTCTCCAAACATTAATATTACAGTCCATATCACACTTGATGGAAGCTGTAGAGAGCAGATTCCTAGCATTGTTGACACTTTAATCAGAACACTGATTAAAGAAAACACGTATGAAGGTGATGCAATAGTTTACACAGATGGGTCAGTCATTAGGGGCAAGCGAAATGCATGGGCATTCGTAGTAAGCTTAAGGGGAAACCATCAAGGAGATGAATGGCGTCATTGCTGTTACGACTGGTAGCCTTCACAATGGAAACTACACCTGTAAAAAGAACTTTAGCATAGCTTGGTACTCAAAAGTTCACACACCTATGCATTCTTAGTGACTCGATGAATATGCTTAAAAAATAAAAAAGTTTTTATCAGATTTATCAGGCAACAATGTAATGGAACACTAAGCACTTTACAAATATCTGCCTTAACGTTCATCTTTGTGCCAGGTTATGCGGGTGTTCAAGGAAACGAGCGTGTAGGTTATCTTTCTGACGCAGCGGTTGCTATGGCTGGCCCAGTACTGGAAAGAAGTGATGTTATCAATGCCATGCTCTGCACTTACTGAACTGAGGAGCACGCCAAAAGACATGACTCCGTATCCCTGTCTAGACTGATGGACGTGGGTTTGCAGTCTGGGGCTGATAGAAATGAAAATTTCACTAAGAGGACAAGACGTTTCATTAACCCACAAGAACAGGCATCATCAGTCGTGTAATACTTGTGGAGCTTTTGAGGAGGAGATCGGAGAACCTATGGATCTGTTAGGAGTGTTGTGATGATAATCCTTTCTAATCACTAATCACTAATCACACAAGTCTAAGCTTCATGACAGTCGTAGATGTCATAAGCTGCAGAAAATGTTTCAAATGTAAATGCTGCTGGTGTGATATTTAGCACACGTAGTAACTGAATATTCCAAAACAATGTGGACTAGTGTCACATAAATATTATTTCAGTGATTACTTTTTCTGGATTATGTAAAAAAAAAAGACGCAAAGCATACTTGTGTACGTATATGTACACACGCATACTTAGACACGCGCCTTCTACCCTTCTACTCTCTCTCCCTCAGTCTCTCTCTCTCTCTCTCTCTCTCTCCGTCTCTCTCTCTCTCTCTCTCTCTCTCTCTCTCTCTCTCTCTCTCTCTCTCTCTCTTATCTTGCTCTTTCTGACACAAATACACATACCACACATCACACAGAAACTCTAAGCTTAAAAAATCATCAGTTAGTTTCTGGTAAAGGTTTTTTTTTCTTTCTTACTCTTTATATCTTAGTGTGCATTTGAACGTGCATCTGCTTCACGTGCACTGACGCTATCATGCTGTGACAAAGAGTTGTCAAGCCATTTATCTCGTTATGTATTTGTATTTGAATGTGTGAAGTGTTCACAAAATATTGTTGCTGCCGTGTTTTAGCGGCTAGAGTCTGAATGGAACCGACCTTGCACAACCCAGCCTTGATTGTGTACCAAATCCTGATTGGTCAGTAAGATAAAGGTCTAGCCTTATCTTACCAATACGCCTGCAGGCGTGGAAAAGGATCCTTTACTTTACTCCATCCCCCCTCAGCCAATTTTCTTTTTAACAAACTTTTACTACAGAGAATTGTCAAGAGTCAGTTGACACGAAACAAAGCTCACAGCTCCTCGATTTTGCTTTGACTATATGGGGTACACGTATGTATTCAACTGGCTCTGCCAATAATAGAGTGGGGCGTAGCAATAATTGACGACTTGATTTGTTGTTTTATTGCCATTTCAGAACACTAAGCATGTCAAAAACCCTGTGAGATTTTGCAGGGGCAACACACACAAAAAAATAGCCACACACAACGACCAAATAGCGGTCGGTGTGTGGGGTAAAAAGGGAGAGAGAGAGAGATAGAGACAGAGTGAGGCGGAAAAAAAATACTTAAATTTATATTTAGTATTTCCTAATCCTACCCTTTCATAAATATAGGGGGCCTCATTAATCTAGAGAAATCACACACAAACGCATGCACGCGAGTGTGTGCATGCGTGCGTTTTTGTGTGTTTTCTCTGGATTAATCATGTATAAGACAGTCTGTAACATAAAAGATGACGACCAATCTGTATAAAAGGTAGCCGACTAAATTAAGTGAGAAATATCCGAATTTTTTTCCTAGTGTGACACGTTGTTGAACATGGGAGGTTGAGAACGGCGTTCTTGCAAAGATCCATATGACTGTAAAACTGACGGACAACTGTGATCAGGGCAATTTAACCAGTAACCACACACTCCTCTAATAGTCGAGAGTCTTTCAAGTGTGCTAGTTAAACGGAACAAGAAGGTCTTCCAGGTTTATTTACATACACAACACACATAAACTTTGGACCATGCAAACTCGTTCTCTATAGTCTGACCTGGTGTCCATTGAAATAACTGAATAGACAAAACTTCTGCAGAGGTGTGCCACGTCAAATTTTGACAATGCTATTGATATTCTTTTGTGATTCCAGTACTAACCTATGGATGCGAGAGCTGGAAATCAACGAAAACTCTACACACAAAATTAGACAGTTTTGAAAAAAAAAATGTCTTAGAAGAATACTAAATTTCAAATGGTTAGGTTTCCAAACCAATACACAAATAAGGCAAGAATCCAGGCAAGAGTATGTGTCTAATTTTATACGAAAACGCCGCTGGAACTATGTCGGCCACGCCCTTAGAATGGATAAATCAAGACTTCCTTACCAAGCCCTCATTTAAACACCACAGGGGAAAAGATCTCGTGGAAGAACAAGGGAAACTACGTAGAACTATCATCAGGGAAGGCTCGCTCATGGGCGACTCAAACATCCAAGACCTACAACAGATTGCAACGAACCGCCATGCATGGAGAGTCATGACCTCTGCCCTATGTGCCGCACTCGACACAAGAGGAAAGACTAACTAACTATTGACAATGGGCTTCTCGTAATCTTTGTAATAATTCACACAGCTCATGAAGTGTCTGTCCGATCTGCCAGTAGTTCCCACTGACTGTAAACTAGCTGTCGCCTCCCCACCCATGTCAAGGTAAATTAAGAACGTTGTTAAAGCAACTTTTTCCCTCCTAAGGCCAGAACTATATTTATAGAGCAATCTGTTCTCAATAGGTGATGTAGTTAGCGTCACATCAGTCGCCTTTACTTCCCATAATTGTAATTGATACTAGCTCAAGGTCTGGTCGACATGGATGCCAATGTAACTTTTGCAGAAAAAAAAAATTCCGACTCCATTCCGATTTGAACCCATCACCTTTAGATCCGCAGGGGAGCGTGTAGCCGCTAGACACATAACCGCGACTCCTGTGTAAGTGTGCATTTTGTGGTAAAATCCTTGGACCTTGATAAATTAAATAATTGCTACATGGTAGAAATGGTGAAAGTTTCAACTTGGACAGAATGGATTAACTTCACAGAAGAATCGGAAAGAAGAAATCAATAGGGAGCCATTAAACTACTTTATTTGCTACCGAATGACTGAAAAGCTATCTTCTGTTCAAAAATTGTTGATCTACTGGCTGTTTAAAACCATAGGTTCCTACATGATCAATAAAATCCTGGATGAAGTCAGTGCTCATGTCTCACTACATCAGTGTGGTCAAGCAATGCAGATATTTATGTCTTTTCATTCACAAATGTTTACACACGCACACACACAGACGCACACACTCGAGCGCGCACGCACTTAATTAGACACATTTGCGATGTTAATTTACCTGCTGCAAGAAAGTTTCGAATTTCTCGCCGGAATCAATAAGAATATTTTGCAGGCTGTCTACAGATCTCCAAATAATATAGTTAACTTGTGTCCTGTAGAGATTATGCAAGTTGTAGACGAACACAACAAGTTTGTTGTGAATGTTTGTTTGTTTGTAAGCATTTATACACGTAGGTATGTATGTATGTGTGTATGCATGCATGCATGTATATATATATATATATATATATATATATATATATATATATATATATGTATGTGTGTGTGTGTGTGTGTGTGTATGAGTGTGTGTGTGTGTGCGTCAAAGCAATGTTTCCCCGCTGTGAATTTGAATCAAGAAGACACAAACAATTTATTGCGTGACATATTTCGCTGTATCTCGTCAGGTGCATACTAAATTAACAATTGAATAACATGTAGCAAGTAAATGAACCCTTTAAACTGAAATACAAAACTGACTACATTCACAAATGTATGTTTCACCAAAGTAACTGAAAGGTGAAAGTCATGCCTTTCTGTCTACATAAATCTGGATGAATCCGGTTGATAGCCGAATCTTCCGCAAACGTCCATATTAATCTAGTGCTGGCCGATGTGAAAATAATTTGAAATATATCATTCTTAGTTACAATGTGCCCAGAATTTAGAATTTGATTTGATTTGATTCAAGAACCGACATCACAGCACTCGGGGCATTGCCATAAGCGCTCCGTCCCCATCTTCAGCAGCCAGCGAAGAATTCAGATACTAATAGTGCCAGTAGCATTCTGATTAAACGTCCGTCATGCTTTTCTTCTGGGCCTCGAGCATCTGCCAGAACCTCTCGTCACCCCTAACAGCATCAATCTCACCAGACTGTGGTGATCCATCTGCTCCTCCGAACTGTACACGCTCTCCCACAAGGCACTAACCACGTCTGCCTTATTATGTATCAGTAATCCACCACGTTGTGCAGAGCCAGTCAGTCTCTCCGTCTGTTAATTTCCCAACACACTGGCGTGACCGGTAAAAAAAATCCAGACAATACTCCTCACTCGTGTCCTCCGCAGCGAATCATGCCACTCTGCACAAGGCATACCTGCTCTGGTCTTCCTCGGCATGCTTTCTAAATCAGTTACAATCACGATGTGTGTGTGTGTGTGTGTGTGTGTGTGTGTGTGTGTGTGTGTGTGTGTGTGTCGTGTTCTCTAGCCAGCGGAAAGCTGCAGTGACCGCTCTACCTCCATACCTAAGCTGGATGTTGTGGTATCATATGCTAGGCTCTCCTGCATCAAACGTCGACCATTAACGTTTGCTAAGAAAGTCCCAAGCACTTCTTTTGCTTTTTGACACTGAACCGCCTGTGTAAATGATCAAATCCTCTAAGCGAGCATTTTTTGAATTAATAGCTGAATTTCCACCTCTGTGGCACCTGCTGGCCAGTCTCTGCATTCCCGGCTCAGTTTGATTATGACTCTACACAAGTCTGACTGTTCAGGTGGCACTTTGACCCACTCCTCTCCTTGCCTAATGTTCTCAAGGATGCAAACCTGATTGTGTCTTCTGCCTGAGCCATCCATGACCTCCCTCTTATCAGCCGCTGTCACTTAACTGCACCCAGAGCTTCATGCAGAGGTGGGTCTGTGACTGCAGCTACCCTGAGAAATGACTTTGCCTGCAGCGCTTTGTGCCTACCTGCAACCGTCGGCAAACCAAGGATGTATCGCATACACACCACTGGGGTGTCTCTGGTGCGCTCTAGTTGTCGATCTGACTCTTTGAAACGGTAAGCAGTCCCAGACCATAATCCACCACTGACAGGATCAGGTGCTGATACAGTGTGAAAAGCATTTTCTGTTCTATGTCAATTGCAGCCATAGTCTTTAGTGCACTCTCCACATGGTCCTTAAATGACCGGCTCCTGTCAAATGTAATTCCCAGATACTTCAGTTTGCTTTCTCTGTTGACGTTTCTACCATCTATCGTGAAACTTGGGACATTAGTTTTAACGATTCTGTTGTCCAGACAACACCACAAAACAGACGCCTTTTCAGAGTGGACGACAGCCCTCATTTCTGTACACCACTCAGTCACTTTGTCTACTGTCGCTTGTAGCTGCCTGGCTGTTTGTTCCCTCTCTTCCCCCTGCCTATATGCAAGTATATCATCCGCAAAGGTCAGTATCCTTCCAACTCCATGAGCTCAGTCGGAGAGCAACCCGACGTGAATACAGGACAGCTGCAACCCAATTCACCAGCCATGGACTGACCTCCTTCTCCTTCATTGCAGTCATTACGATGTCATATCTCATTCTGTTATAAGCATCATCGAGCTTCAGTCCTATCGCCATTGTTTCCTGTCTCTTCTGGAACCCTTCATAGACGTTAAAAGCAAAAGTGGCTGCATTTGTCCAATTGGCCGTAGCTTCCCAGACCTCTTGGGAGAAGCTTCATGCTTTTCAAAAATTCTTGTAGCTTCCACTTGTATCATGTCTTCATAATGCATATTCTTCAGGGTGCCAGCCAACTCCTTTCTAACTGCATCCCTGTTGTCTACATCTTTATGATCTGCCTGAGCTATAAAGCTATGGAGAAAAGCCGCACCTTTCTCCCTGTCTGTTGTCACACGCACACCATCGTCTCTACAAATTGTTCCGACTGTCGTAGGCCGATCTTTTCTTTGCATCTGCCTTTGCAGTTTCCAGAATTTCCCCAATGTTTTATCGCCTCCCATATCATTCACAAAAGTTTCCCACTTTGCTCTTTTGGCCTCTGCAGCACAGCGCTAGAAAACCTCCACCTTATCTTTCTTCACATTCTCTGCCATCTCCACTTCCTCTCATGAGCTTGAAGGTGTCTTTCGTACATTTTTTTTAGCTGCTTCACTGCGGCTCTCTTTGCCTTCCACGCCTGTACTACTTCTGGAGTCCACCATAGAGCTGTATAAAATTAGTTCTGGCAGTTATGTTGCATGCTCCCCGTCTGAGGCGTCCAAGTAGTTTGTTAGTCTCCTTTTGCGTGCTCTACCAAACCTAAACTAACTGCGTTTAGAAATCAAGACTGAACATGGTAGGTGATCACTCCCATGGTCATTCAGGACAGTCCATTTAACATCTAAAACCGACGACAGAGAGACAAATGCGACTGCTTATGCTGGATTTTTTTCCGACCAGTACCGATTCACTGGTGCTGAGTTGTTTTTGGTGTTTTGCATTGCTCCTATCACCCACAGCGAAAATGTTTCAGCAACCCTTTTTTTCAGTCGTCGATCAGTTCTGCCCACAGATGCAGTGTTATATGTTCATTTAAATTGGTAAATTAGATTTGGCTTACGTCGACACAGCCTCTTTAACTTGTGGCGTAGGAATTGCGGTGGTTTTGAAGCTGATAAGATGCATGGCTGCGTTAAAAGAGTGGGCTGACTGCTGTTTTGAGCGCGTCATCGAAAAGTTGCATAACATCTCCCCGAAAGTTGAATGTTGAATGTTGAATTAAGAATCGACATCACAGCACTCGGGGCACTCGTGTTCTCCCCCCCCCCCCCCCATAACAGTACTATTAGCTGGGATTTTTCTTTCTTTCCAAGCTACATTAAAAATTCTATTAAGCTATTTAACACCCGCTTCTCCGCATGCTTAGATCCCTTCTGTATTAATTCAACCCAGACCTGGTGCCTTGTTTCTGGGGCTGTTCTGTAAAACTGCTCTTACTTCCGCTGCTGTGAAATTTGGTTCCTTTTGTTTGCAGCTTTGAGGTACAAAGTTAAAATTGTCTAAGTTGCCTGCAGGGTTGAGAAGTTCGTGAAAATACTCTGCCCCTTGCCAACCTCTGTTGTGGACTAAATTGAGGTATGCCTCTCTTGTTTTTGTTGATAGTTGTTGGGTTGTAGCTTATGTCTCTTTCTCTCATTATTTTTACATGTTTAAAAAATTCTCTAGGGGAGTTCTTGCTGAGGGTAGCCATCTGTTGACCATAATTTCTTTAAGACCGGTCTTTAGATGTTTTAATTTTGCGTTTCGCTTCTCTTACTAATCTGTAATGTACATAATCTTAATGTGATTGTGATTACATCCATTTTTTATATGCCTCCTTTCTGTAGCGTATCGCTGGAGTAAAACTTTATAGCGCGGTTAAATATTGTCTGCACTAGGCTAAGCGTGTATTGCATTCGTGCAAAACTGTTAAAATTGGTGAATGGCTTGTCAAGTATCTTTAAGATAAACTGACCTTCCTATAGAGTCATCATCTTTAAGTCTAATTAAAATGTCTAAAAAGACCAAGGCGTTGATACTTTCATGATGGGGGAAGATTGATGTTTTTGTGTGTTTTGGTTCATTTTGGTGTGAAATGGCGCTGCCTGTTGCCTATTAGTAGCGACGATAAAAATGTCATCCACAAAACGTCGGTAAAATACCAGAGTGTCGATATCAATCAACATTTGTTCCTCTATGGTGTGCCATGAACATGTCAGCTAGAATAGTATCCAGAGGGCTTCCCATAGCTACGCCGTCAATTTGCCAGTAAGACTAATTAAGAGAACTGAAACGATAATAGATATGCACAACAGTAAAAGTTCCAGTTTTGAAGTGGGTAAGCCCAGCTGCAGCTTTTTGCTTCCTATACGGTCACATATAATTTTCTCAGATTCTTCTAAGGGGACGTTCGTAAATAGAGATGCTACATCCATTGATGGCATGTACGTTTGATTTATATTCATTGTATCTAGTAATTCTACCATTTCAAATGAATCTCTGAGTATTTTGGGCTCAAATAATTGCCGTATTGGTTTTAGCATTTCCGCTAGCCATTCAGTCAGACGTAGAGCTACATTTGTCAACGACAGGATGGGCCTAATGGGCATTCCAGGATTGTGAACTTTTGGAAGACCACATAGATGCAGTATTTGTGAGCCACACGGAGAAAGCATCTTGGCGGTAGCTTCGCTGATAAATTTACCTCCCAAAACTGATTTTATTACTTTCCTAATTTTCGCTTCCGTAACGCAACCACAATGAATCAGGTTTCTAGTCTAAAAAAAAAAAAAAAAAAAAGAAATCACCATCAGCAGTTGCTTCCCATATTCTAAATTCTGGGCATATCAAAACAAAGATGAC